GCTTGTATGCCATTCAGGTGACGTTCTTTAGTCTTTTATATTGCCATTTTACAGTGAATCATATCATAAGTACTTTAATTCAAGCCTGTGATATTAATGATGGAGTTGTTAAGCATGTTAGCTGACCAGCCACGTTCTAGTTAAGAAAACAAGTTGTCAGCTGCTCAGTTGAAACAGAAATGGGTTCTTACATCATCAGTACACTCAGTGGTCCATGCGAGCTGCATTAGAGTCAAAAAGTATTCCTTTAACAACACAAGAATTTTTCATACATGGCTCAGTAGTACAGAGTTCAGTTGCTGTGCCAAACAGATTTTATGTATGGAACTTTTTATAAAACACATTTTAAGTGCATTTATGATGCTTTATGAATACAGGATTCATAAGAAATGTTACCAGATCTGCAGGGATTTCCACACCTTCAAAGGTCAGTCTTAGAATTTGGTTGCATTTTGATGATCCAAGTAATCATGGTTACAATTTTAGACTCATCACTCCACTAAACGTTACTTCTGTGAATGTTAGGCCCAATCCCATTTCACCCCTCGCCCCTACCGCTTAGCCCTTACCCCTCTGTTTTGCGTGTTCACGTCGAGGGGTAGGGTGTCCTGATGATTATTGTTGAGATTGAGGGGTAGGGCAAAGTGTTAGGGCTACATGGCCCTCCAAACGGAGGTTTTTCAGAGTCACTTCAAACAGAGTGTTATGAGAAAAAAAGAAAAACCGACAAGATGGCTGAAAAAGAGACCAAAGAAACACATAAATGTGAGAATTTTCTCCGTTAAAAATTCCAATAACCCTTGTTTTATCTTAGTTTGATGGCATTTAAATATATAATGGCTGTTTTCTTCATAAAAAATCGCTAATAGCATCAGCTAATCACTGATGTCTCAGTAGCTAGCTAGCTAACTTTCCCGTTCCACCTTAAATAGTTCAGCAGTTCTGACACCTGAAGCTCCAGAAGGTAACTGCTGCTCCATTTAAGGTGGAACGGGAAGATTCGAACAAAAAGCTGGTGAATATCTGACTTCAGCTTTGTATCACCAAAGAATTAGGGGTGGGTGATAATAAATAATTGCCCCCCTCTTTGAAGGCATATGATGCCCTAAATGTAACTAAAGTCCAGCAGTGAGGAGCTGAACTTTACCCTCCTCTGCTGTCACTGCAGACTGGCAGGGTCGCCTACAGAGCAGCGCTGGTAGCTGTTAATGAAGTGATGCTCTTTTTATTTGAGGGTCCCATTTCAGAGGGAAGATTTCAACCACTACCCCTTATAACTCAGTTCCAAGGGGTTAGGGTGACACTCGAAAACAAGGGGTAGGGGTAAAAAGAAGTAATGGGACTGGGCCTTAGTGTCTCTTTGAAGGGTGATATAATCTCATTAACTCTAAGAACAGATTTTGTTGGGAGGACACAAATGCAACTGCAGGGATGGAAGAGTTAAAGTGGCAGGAGGGCAAAGAGTGGACAAATTAAATACTGACAGATTTTACATTATACTTTAAAGTTGGTCATTTTTGAATAATATTTTGTTAAAGACGTTTCCCACTTTTATTCTCAGACACTAACAAATGAATAACTTGTACCTAAAGGCCGTTTTAACTAGAAATAGAATAAAAGAAAGGTGCTGTTTGCAGAGTCTGACACTGATTTCTTTGTAATTAACTAGTGCTTTGACTAGTTAAGCATGTATCCATCTGTATTTGTGATTCTGAAAGTGGTTTTGTTACCTGTGCCCACTCAGTGGCATCAATCTCAGAGAGCAGATTATCTCAGTAGGAGTTTCTCTGCACAATGCATTGCTCTCCTCAAAATAACAGTAGTTTAGTGTTTTTAACATAAGTTTGTAGACGCCTGCTCATCCAGCGTTTCTTTTAAAATCAAGGGTATTAATAGGGAGTTTGTCCCCCTTTGCCACCATAACTTCTGGGAAGGTTTTACACTAGATGTTGGAATATTGCCATGAGGATTTGATGGAGCATTAGGGAGGTCAGGTACTGTTGTTGGATGATCAGTTCTGGACACTCTAAGTCTTCCCAAAGGTGTTGGGTAAAGCTTCATCACTCCAGAGATTGCAGTTCCACTGCTCCACAGCCCAATGTTGGGGGTCTTTATACCCCTTTAGCTGACCCTTGGCATAGGCATGATGACCTCAGGCCAGTTTGTTCTTCGGCTCTTGTTATCCATCCAAACGATCTAATTATTCACTGTGATAGTTCCTCTGCACATAGTGTGGCCTGAGGGTAACAGTGCAGCATCATGTCGTGTGGATAATCTACCCAGCTTTAGGCAAAATGAGGTTAACTATGAAATCACGTAAAACAGGAAAAAACAGAAGCTGTACTGAGGCTGTGAAAAAAGCCACATGCATATTCACCTCACTGTAACCTTTGCTGTCTGCATCACAAATCGGACCTCATGTTGAACCAAATGCAGCAAGAGTGAGAGTACCTTCAGGGCATTGAGTGCAGTCAAGTTTCTTCTTAGCTGTAGTAACACCTATGAGACTGTAGTGCTTTGTAAATAATCTAGAAGGGAAAAACGATACCGAGAGATTTGAGGGCCAATTCTTAGAGAATAACCAGTAGCGGATGGTCAATTGCACTGATTATCCATTCTGTTCAGTATAGTGTAATAATGTTGGTTGCTATCCTGATACCAACGTCGATACTGATACTTTTAGAAATCTTAATATGCTCATAAAAAGGGAAATCTTTGTGATAAATTCAATAAAATATAACTGAAAGTGTTTCATAAACATACAGTCCAGTTTAGGCCTGTATGTGTCTTTTCATCAAACAATTCTTCAAATAATGGGTGTTTCAAGAAGTAACAGGTGCTAAAAGAAATTAGTATAACCTATATAAGGCCTATTAGTATAGACCTGAATATTGCCTATATGTTCCTATCCTACACATGCATTTGCAACAGTACTTTTTTCCCACTTTTTAGCTTTAAATATATTTCATTTCATTAGAACAATTTATTTTATTGTCAGAATGAGATTGCAGTCTTCGTTTGGCAAGTACTAGATCTGCAAGGAATTGCTCTTGGAGCAGATGTCAGCATACATTTTGGTAAATATACATATGTGAAGTATGTGCAGTGCAGTTATGGTGTAATTACTGAAGGTGTGTACAGATATAAAGTATTTAAACACAGCATGCACAGCTAAAGACTTGAGAAGTGCGTATATGTATTACGTAGATTTTGTAAGAGGGAAGTGGGAGAGGTCCAGCTTATAGGAGGATTATGGTCTGGTATATACAGTACAGAATATACACCGATCAGGCATAACATTATGACCACCTCCTTGTTTCTACGCTCATTGTCCATTTTATCAGCTCCACTTACTATATAGGTGCACTTTGTAGTTCTACAGTTACAGACTGTAGTCCATCTGTTTCTCTGCATACTTTGTTAGCCCCCTTTTACCCTGTTCTTCAGTGGTCAGGACCCCCATGGACCCTCACAGAGTAGGTTCTGTTTGGGTGGTGGATCATTCTCAGCACTGCAGTAACACTGACGTGGTGGTGGTGTGTTAGTGTGTGTTGTGCTGGTCTGAGTGGATCAGACACAAGCGGATGAATTTGATGATTGCAAGCGTGTTGAAAGAGAATTCAAGGAGAACTCAGTCAAAACTTGGTGAAGGACGTGTCTAATGAGGATGTGAGTGATTTATCTACTATCGTCATCACATCTTATACATCAGTATAATGTTTTGCATTTGAGACCTAAACAAGGCCTTCTTTTTGGGCCTGTGTGTGACATTAATACATAAAGATGTATGATGTGGTTTGATAAATTCTACCCGACACCTCTGACTTCTTATTCCAGGCTTTATTAGGATCATATTTTGTTCATATTCAGTCCATCTCTGCACACTTTGTTCAGATGGACAAAATAAACAGTCTGCCAGTGCTTTGACTAGTTAAGCATGTATCCATCTGTATCTGTGATTCTGAAAGTGGTTTTGTTACCTGTGCCCACTCAGTGGCATCAATCTCAGAGAGCAGATTATCTCAGTAGGAGTTTCTCTGCACAATGCATTGCTCTCCTCAAAATAACAGTAGTTTAGTGTTTTTAACATAAGTTTGTAGACGCCTGCTCATCCAGCGTTTCTTTTAAAATCAAGGGTATTAATAGGGAGTTTGTCCCCCTTTGCCACCATAACTTCTGGGAAGGTTTTACACTAGATGTTGGAATATTGCCGTGAGGATTTGATTGAGCATTAGGGAGGTCAGGTACTGTTGTTGGATGATCAGTTCTGGACACTCTAAGTCATCCCAAAGGTGTTGGGTGAAGCTTCATCACTCCAGAGATTGCAGTTCCACCTCTCCACAGCCCAATGTTGGGGGTCTTTATACCCCTTTAGCTGACCCTTTGCATAGGCATGATGACCTCAGGTCAGTGGTCTCCCATCCTTCCTGCAGAGCCTAGTTCCAACCACAAATTGCTACATCTGCTCCAGCTAATCAACCTCTACCCAAGTCCTTAATTGGCTGGATTAAATGTATTAGAGTTAAATAAGGGGTGGGGCAGCTTATTGGATGCAGGCTGGAGCTAATTTTTGCAGGAAGGTGGCCTTCAGAGACCAGGGTTGGAGACCACTGCCTTAGGCTCACATATAGCTGTGCTATCCTATTCTATTGGCAGTGCTTTTCTATGGAGATGATAAAAGGTGTATATACTTTTTATATCATTAGCTGATGATATGCAGGATGTGCCATCTACCTGCATTTATTATGGACTTTAAGATTCTGTCTTATCACAAAATAAACATCACCATTATTAGACCTTATTTACTGAAAATAAAGTAAAAAATAATGCAGCTTATTTCAGTTCAAGATGAATCTTAATCAGGCTATGATGAAAACACATTTAACATTTAATTAACAATGTTTAATTTATATTTACAAGCTGTTTTGTTTTTCTTTGTTGTAGTTTTAGTATAGGTTTAGTGTTAGCATACTATAATAACTCCATCTTCTTTCTTGCAGCTCCCGATCCTGGCCTCCTCAGTGGTCAGCCTTTATTTTCTGGAGCTGACTGACATCTTTAAGCCTGTGCATTCAGGCTACAGCTGCAATGACCGGAGCCTGAGCATGCCCTACATCGAGCCAACCAAGGAGGTCATTCCTTTCCTCATGCTCTTCAGCCTCGCTTTTGTTGGACCAGCAGCTACGGTCAGTTCCAGTTGCAGGCAAAGACAAACTAAACAACTGACCACATCCCTTTCATGTTTTTTACCTGCTATAGCGCTGCATTGTGTTGTACTCGGAAGCTGAGTGGACAACGGCAACTAGTAAATTTAGATACAGTTGTACACAAAAGTTTAAACACCCCCATCACCCCATTTGGTGATTTTGTATGAGTGTATATATATATATATATATATATATATATATATATATATATATATATATATATATATATATATATATATACACTACATGTATATATGTTACTGTGCCTTTAAGACATATGGAAATGGGCTCTGTTCTAAATGGTTGCTTTGTGTTTTGCTTATTCAAAACAAAAAGTAGTTGTGGCCGAAACAGTCCTTATGAATGGGCGTCCAGTGTGAATGGGTGGGGCTAAATTTCTGTATACAGTGGTTTTTTTTTTGACATCACAAAAACAATAAATTCAAAGCAGCCTAGTTTTTATATGTGTTCTATAAGAACTGGGAAGCAAATGATACATTTTGAAACTTTAATAGTGTTTGTGTACGTCTGTATGTCTTGTGATAAGTCACAGCTTGGGTAACATGGAGCTAGCTTGTGTTTACCACTTGTATGTTCGACTTTATTAATTTAATTGAATTAATTTATAAGCACTGGCTGAACGCACCATATGGGGAGGAGCAATTCATCCAGAATGTGGCCCATGACACAAGCTCCACCCACAGGCCATCTTATACGAAAAACCCAAAACGTGCACATCCTGCGTTCTCCAGAATTAGGATAGATAGAGTGGCTGTGATTCATACTCATCATACTCATATACCAACTGGGGTGTTTAAGGCAGGACTAACTGTTGTGATCCATCCCTGAGTGTCCAGCCCGAGGACAGTTTCCTCTATCATGACTCCTTATCTTGTAATTGTGTTTTATATGGAGAGACCACTTATAAATGAATCGTTCTGTGCCAGATAGTGCTAGCAAAGAATACAGAAAGTAGTAATGATGTCCTGGTTCAGAGATTAAAACTCTTAAAGATGAACTCCAGTGTCAGATTTATAATATAGTAGGTGTAATGACTTTCTGTTACATGAAGCATCAATTTCTAAAACTGCTTCAGGGTCTGAATACTAAAATTCATGCAGTTATTATTAAATTTGACCGTGGTGTCTGAATTTGAACGATTCTGCTATAAAGCATTTTTTTCTGACCTTACATCCCACTGGATGATGAGTATTTTACTTCCACCCAGAGTTTAGACTGTCACTGCTGAAATTCTTGTCTGTAAAATGCAACGAAATGAAGAACTGCCGGTTAAACATTGTGTGTTACTGTTGCAGGCCCTATTGAACCAGTTTACACTTTATATTTTCGGTAACACTTTCTATGAATGTCACATTTGTAAGCATCTATAAACACATTTATAACATGTTATAATGCATTCATATGGCATTATAAACATGATTATAAACATTTATAAAAATGAATTACACTTTATAGCCATGTTTATTATACATTATTAATTGTTAATATAATGCATTATAAATAGTATTAATAACATGTTATAATGTCAGTGCCAAAGAAGTCAGTCCCAGCTTGGAGAGTATAAAGTAAAGACAAATACCAAGCTAACTGTGGTGAACATTACCTTTCCCACATTGGGTAAAACACTGATGGCAGCTCTAGTTTAAACTCTGACATTTGAAGCCTGTAATGTGCTTTATTGTGTATGTTTTAGTGTTTCAGTAAATTCTTCAGTAAATACTTCAACTTGTAGCCTCACTCTTAACACTGGAGGAGGCTTTAGTAAATACTTCAACTTGTAGCCTCACTCTTAACACTCTTAACGCTTCACTTTACTTAGAGTGGACAAATACGACTTATGAGCTCTTATAAGTTGTTATGATCAGTACTTATAATGTATTATGTTAACAATTCATAAAGCATAATAAGCATGGCTATAACGTGTAATGCATTTTTATAAATATTTATAGCCATGTTTATAATGCCTTCTGAATGCATTATAACATGTTATGAATGTGTTTATAGATGCTTACAAAGGTGACATTCACAGAAAGTGTTACCATATTTTCTGTAACTGAACTTTAATATGCCTCACTAGACAAGGCCAGGCTAACATGCTGGTTTAGTAATCCTGGGAAACAGGCTTTAAATTCAGATCTTTCCAGAAAGACTCACAATAAAACTGCATATTGAATAAAGAATGTTACTTGAGTGCCTGTTAGCCTTACATGCCTGAGTTTAAGCTAGAATTAGCATCAAACTTGATTATACAACACCACTACCCTGCTAGAAAAACTAGCACAAACCAGCATAGCTATTGCTGCACTACTGGAAAAAAACAGCCTAGACTACCATGAACTACCATCTGGTCTAAACTGGTTATGCTGGTCTGGTGCTGGTCTGGTTCTGGTTTAGCTGGTCATCCTGCATGATCATGCTGGTAGCATAGAACAGCTCACCAACAAAACAAGCATATACTGTGTTTTGGATTCTAGTATGCTGGTCAGCGAGCTTTTGGCATGCTGGATAACCAGCTAAACTAGAACCATACCAGGACTAGACCAGCAGAAACCAGCACAGACCAGCTTACACCAGCATAGAATGCATACTGGTTCATGCTGTTTTTCTACACTGTCAGAAAAAAGGTTCTGTGCAGATACATTTTTGTTCATCAAGGTATAAACAATATAAACGTACCCTCAAAATAACAGCAGTGTTCTTAAGGCGGCCTAAATGAGTTTAAGTTTTCCATAATTTAATATTTTAAACAGAACAAAAACATAAAAAGCCTAGAGTCTACGCAACTTAAAATACGTGATTGTAATGGATTATGGTGCAGTTATGTTCCCTGACTAAAGGTATTGAAGATACCCTTGATCGTTGTACCACCACAGTGACAAGAGAGGTGCCACCCCAGTGACACTTTAGTACCTTTCAGTCTGAGACTATAGATTTATTTTGGAATAATAATGAATAATGTTTTCAAATGAGCTCCTACATTTTCCTTTGTGCTACCCCTGTTAGCAAGAAGATAGTAGACCACTGTCGGCCCACTGATGGCAAAGCTGGTGGTCCTATGGTATTTTGCTCGGCGTTTTCTGGGCGGCCCACCAGTTGTTAAGCAGAGTAATAGACAATATTCCACTCATTATCGCTCATTTTCCTCATTTACTTATTTACTTATTTTCCCTCCTTTCTTTCTTTAGTTATGCTTTATAAATTAGTTTAGTAAATAATAAAGCGAAAAGCTACGAGAGACTTATTGCTTTTATAAAACGGCGGCCAATATAACACGTAATAAAATACACAATGTGAGATAATTGTTTACGTTATTATCAATAATAATCAACATAAACAAGTATCCTTCCAAGAAATGTAGTTCCTTTAGAGTAGGGTATTGTTGCTAAGCAACCATTGACCGCTGAATGAGGAGAAGAACGTTTGGTCGCCAATCACTGTAAACTGAAGACATTTTATGAATTTTAAAACTTTTTTCTTATAACGGTGAACATATAAAACTCAGCACTGTTTAATGTAAAAACTTTCAGTTTATAAGTACTTTTTGGCCACCGCAAGTCATCTGCCAGTCTGACGACGCCACTTTTCTCACGCTGGGGCTGAATCTCAAACGGCTCCCTGCTCCCTACATAGTGCACTACGTAGGAATTTAAATACTGACTCCTGCAGCCCAACAATGCAAAATATCACTAAAAATGGTCATTTGGAATTCATCCACATTCATACTCGACAAGCAGTGCACTATTTGACAGCAGAAGCTAGAATTCCTAAACTTAATGTTACACAGCTCACTATTTAGCTAGGGAGTATGGAGCCGTTTGGGATTCAGCCTGGGTTTGACGCGACTTCTGACTGACATATGGACATTTGAAGCATGTAAGCCATTCAGGTGACATTCTTTAGACTTTTATATTGCCGTTTTTCTTTAAATCATATCCTAAGTACTTTAATTCAAGCCTGTGATATTAATGTTGGAGTTGTTTAGGCTGTTGGCTAGCTGACCAGCCTAGTTCTAGTTAAGAAAATAAGTTGTCAGCCCCTCAGTTTAGACAAAAAAGGTACTTACTTCATCAGTACACTCAGTGGTCAGTGCGATCAGCGTTAGAGTCAAAGATTATTCCATTAACAGCACAAGGGTTCTTTCGTGCTGTGGCGCAGTGATACAGATATTGTCAAGCCCGTGGACCAATATATGCTTCCTATCTGGGACGAAATGTTTTTGTCTGTTGGTATAAGTCTTAGCAATGTTACAATGTAGCCTGACCTGATAATTTGACATACTTAGCAACAATTACTTAGAGAGACTTGTCATAATTTTGCAAACAGTGAATTACATTCTGGCCCCATTTCAATGCTTTCTTTAACATCCCTCGCAGCAGAAAAGGGAAGAGGAAGTGAGGAGCGGGTCATTCAAACGGAGAACACTCGCAAGCTTAGCCTTGCAAAGTTAGCCTCGCAAGGTTAGCCTCAGTGAGCTAATTGGACAGTCATGCAACCTATGCAACACAGCATGCTTTTCTGAGAAAGTATAACATAAACCTACAGAAATGTCTGAATATTTGCTTTGTCTGGCTACAAACTTTGGTGTATCACCTTTTGTTTTTATCAGTGTTAGACATTTAGCCTTTAGCGTGCTAACTAGCAAGGTAGCAGAGCGAAGTGGTAAAGTTTGAGTGTTCTATTGCTTTCATACAACAGTTAAATAAATAAAGTAAGTGTGTTTTAATGCTAGCAATTCCTTCCACCAAATTATAGTTCCTTAACGAGCAGCTTGTTGCTACGTCAGAGTAACGAACTCCGCTCACTCTGCACAGCCAGCAGTTCGTTCTCCAGCTCTTTACACTAAACTCCCGGCAGCTGAGACAGAAGAACAGCTAAACAACCTGGAATCAGCCAGAAATTAACCCAATACCATTCGCCAAACGTGTAGTCTGATCTTCAGAGTCTGACCAAATCGGACT